TAATAGATATTTTATGTACATATAAAATTTGTACGTACATTTTATTTAATCGACATTTAATTTAATAATTATTCTACTTTCAATAACGTTAACCGCATCGGGTATTTGAAAATTATCTATCTTTAAATATTATGCAGTAATTATTCTCTTTTCATTTTCGTTAAATAAATAATAAATTAATTTCACTTTCAGAGAAACATAATTATATGTTAAAACTACTGTTAACTTGGATTTACGAATAACTATAGGAAGTATGTTAATTAAAAATATATACTGTGTGCCCCTTGACATAGGCCATTTTGATGTGCGTTTGGGCTTAAAGGGATTATTTCTTCAGGGGCAGATAGAAGTGACTAAGAAGCTTGTAGTGTAAAACTAATTGAAAGATTGTCAACAATTTCGATTATATTTTTCTGCTCCTTCTCAATAATTTTTAATCAATATTACTACTGTTAAATTAATGTGAATACAGGTACTAGAGAAATACTGTAATTTATATATTCAGTTCTTAATCGTGAACTACAATTGCAGAAAAATATTTAATTTACGCAAACAGTTGCCTTGTGGTCCAATTATCAAGAATAAAAGTGATGGAAGAAATAATGGGTAGGTATCCGTAGTTCTCCAATGAAAATAATGTATCTCGTATGTTAGTTAGTACGTAGCATATGATACGCGTCATTTCTGTTATAGAAATCGTGAAAGTTGAGGATGCAGTGTTCTTAGAAGATACAGCGCTAGAAAATTTATTTGGTAATTGTAATATATAGTCTATGATGTACAGAAATTTTTAATAATTACTATAACATTGATGTGTGATTTTTATAGATCCAGAAAACGTACAAGAAACTATTATAATGTCTGCTGAACAAGGAGAATCCACTGACACAACAGGTATACAAAATAGAGATAATTTTTTACTTTCTGATTTTATATATTTATACATGGCGTTTGTTCATTTCGTAATGGATTTGTTGTTTTTGCGTTACATTCTTTTTTTTTTATTTATTATAGCCTTTTTTTTACTATGCCTTTCAGTTATTGCTCATGACGGTCAAATTATACAAATTATAACAGATTATGAATGTGTTACATGTCATCGTATCTTTCAATCACAAGATGTAAGATTTTAACTTTATTTTGACATTATTATTAATAGTAGAAATATTAAAAATTGCTTAATTGTAAAATGTAATTTGCAATATGTTTTGACAAAATTACTTATTTCGATAGATGCTAAAGGAACATTTAGACATATGTAGAGAAGAAGATGATTCCAACATTTTGCAGTTAAGGAGTCTTGAGAATTATGAGTCAGATGATGAAGAGAAAGATAATAATCCAGACTATATTAATAATTCCAATATGGAAGGTATATATTATATAAAATTTTGTCAAACATATTTCGAAGAAAAAATTTTAGATAAGGAAAATGATCATTTCAGATGACAGTTCTAATAATCAAAAAAATTATAATGATAAGCCAATAATTATACCTGTACCTGATACACAATGTCATTGCTGTGCTGAAGATTTAAGCACTGCGCACAGTGGTGGTGAATTTAAATGTCAACACTGTAACCTATCATTTAAAAAGAAATCATCCTTAGAAAGACACATTGTGGTAATTCATTGGCAGTGTGATTCATGTACCTGCAAAGATTGTGGAGAATCATTTCGTGATAAGAAGTCACTAAACAAACATCGTTATACTACTCATGCTGATAAAAAAATTTTCAGGTAACTGTACATTTATTATTAGGACGAATATTTCATTAAATAGTATAATTTAAAATGTTTTAGATGTGAGCCTTGCGATACTTATTTTTCACGAATGTATCATTTAAATCGCCATATAATGCAATCTGGATGTCATGGAAATATTCTTAATACATATAGTTGTCAAGTAAGTTTTATATATAATATTTAATTAGCAAAACAAAGTTCGAGACTAATTGTATATGTTAATAGGTTTGCCAAAAAATTTTCACGCGGAAGGATAATTTACGTGAACATTTACGAACTCACGCCGGAACTCCTCAAAGACAAAAGAAACCTTGTAGATATTGTCCTAAGGAATTTTTTACTAACCAACAATTGTTAATTCACGAACGTGTACACACAGGAGAACGACCAGTTCAATGCGATTTATGCCCAAAGTCTTTTCTATCTTCTCTTGCATTAAAGAAACATAGACGTGTACACACAGGAGAAAAACCATTTGAATGCCAATATGTAAGTTTTGAATTAAATTCAATTTTAACAAGTTACGTTTTTTTTGTGATTGATATTATCCTATTATACAGAGTAGGGCATTTAAAACAGGTCACGTGAATAACTTGCTTGTTTGCGAAGATAGAAGAAAATGCATTAGGCCGAACTTGGTATCAAGAGGCATCAAGGTGATATGAAGATCAACTCTGTTTTTTTAAATGCAATAGTATCTTATTTATAATTGGTTTCTTATTTATAATTTGGTAGAGTATTATGAAGGTCATTCAAGGTTACCTAAGGTCAACTGCAATAGAAAATAGATTGCTTCAGAGCACTCTTCGAATACTTCAATGATTTACATGTAACATGTTATATACATACTTAATGCTAGTACAAGTGTTTAAAATAACAACCTTGAACATGGATACATAGTCTAAAACATTGTAATACTGATGGCACTGCCTGACAAATTTCATTTGTATCTATTATAGAGCAAGTTCTCTTTATATGTTCTTGCATTCCAAGTTTGATTGTTGGTTTTTTGTGGCATACTTCTTCCTTTAATTTTCTCCAGTAATAAAGATCTAGAGGTGTCAGGTCTTGCCAGCCATTTGTTATTTCCTGATTGACCAATCCAACAATCTCCAAATTTTCTGTTGGAAATTCTATAACATTTCATGCTGAGTAAGCAGAACATTCGCCTTATTGGAACCACATGAATTGTCATATATACAGTGAAATGTCTTTTAACAATTCTGGCAAAACGTCTTCTGAAATTCTCTCGTATTTACGACTATTTAGCGTGCCATCAATAAAATACGAATCAATTATTTTACTATGAAAAAGGTCGCACCAGACGTTTATAGATCAAGATCTCTGTTTGTCCACTTTTTTCAGCCATCGTGGATTATCCACTGACCAGTAGTGCATGTTGTAATAGTTAATAGTTGCTTCGTAGTTTGTAAATGTGGTCTCATCTGTAAACAAAGTTTTGCTCAAGAACATTTCATCGCCTTGCAGTTTTCGTAAGCCCCATTCACTAAATTGTAAACGTTTTTGAAAATCATTTTCACTTAATTGTTGATCAAGTGAAATCTGGAACAGGTGAAATTTGTTAATGTGAAGTATTCGCAAAATATACAAAGATATAAGAAGAATACAAGAAGTATTTGTCGACTGATGCCACTCTCGCGTAAATAAGAAACCATACTATTTCATTTAAAAAATCGGAGTTGATCTTTGTATCTCCTTGATGTCTCCATCTATAAAAAAATTAGTAATATCAGATTATAAGTCCCTCCATACCAAGTAAGCCTGGTCTGATGCATTTTTTCTATCTTCAAAAACAAGCAAGTTATTCAGGTGACCAGTTTTAAATGCCCTACTTTGTATAAATTTCAGTAGATTTGTAATGTTAATCTCTTCATATAATTTTTCTATTACAAGCAAGCACTATATACAGGAAAATTAGTGTAAGTTTTTATTACAGATTATGTACAATTTACAATGTTGTACTTTGTATAATTAAAACTCTAATTTATATTGTAGATACTGTATTAATTAATTTTAACAGCCTAAAAATATATACGATATATTAATTGATTTTCGAATTATTTTAGTGTCAAAAAAAGTTTGCTGCTCGGGAAACTTTAAATCGTCACCAAAGAACTCATACTGGTGAAAAACCTCATGTTTGTCAATATTGCTCTAAATCATTTATTCAGGCTGCTCAATTGAGAGCACATATATTTCATCACACTGGTGAAAATGGTTTTTACTGTGAGGTATGTGGGAAAGCATTTAGTAGAAAAGCTCGGTTAAATGTTCACAAAAAATTTGTTCATGAAGGAGCCACCCCATTTGCATGTCAAATGTGTGAAAAGAAATTTATAAGAAAAGAAGATCTGGTTAAACATGTAATACTTCATACAGGAGTTAAAGGTAATGGAATCGTTATAATTTTGACATAATTTTTGTGAACTTTAATTAAACAATATTCTCTTTGTTACAGCATATAAATGTGATAAATGTACAAAAGCTTTTTCTACAAAATCTTCCTTACAAGCTCATTTAAATACTCATAGACGAGAACCACCACAATCTTGTGTTGAATGTAATAGGGTTTTCATACGTCAAGATTGTTTAATGAGGCACATTAAAGCAAAACACCGTGATCTATTAGAAGAAGTAATGGATGAAGTCGAAAAAAAGAATTTACAAATACAATTATATAACATTGCAACAGTTGCTGCAGAGAAAACAAAGAAAGGAGAGTCTACTCAATTTTCCACTGAAGAATTGTTAAAAGCCATAGCTGATCTTTTGAAAATATTAATTGATGATGATACTCTTCAGGTATAAATCGCAATAATAGTATTTGTAACTATAACAATTGTATTACATCAAATATTATTTAATACATGTTTATATATATTGTATTTTACAGCTCTTTGGTTGGCCTGATGCCCCTATTGAAGATATTGTACAAGCTGTAATTAGACGATGTGGGCATGAACCATTAACATCAGAATGTAGATTACCTTTTGATGAAAGATTAAGGGAAAACATAAAGTGTTTATTTATGGTTGTTATAGAAGATAATATGGTAAAATCACTTTTAACAAGAAAGACAATAGATGACGTAATTGTACATATTTTGAAACTTTCAAAGGAAGCAAATTTATAGTTATGAAGAAGAAATAATTATTAACTAAGTTTCTATTTACATATGAAGTGTTCATTTTTTTCTCCTAATATTAACAAAATTTAGTTAAGTTGCGTTTTTTCCTTTGAAATTATGAAAAAGATAATTAATATCTTTTTTATACATTTACTTTTTTATGTAGATAAAAAATTCAAACATTTTGTTTAGGTTTAATCTTTTTGATTCTTTAATAATATATATCTATTAATAATCGTTGTCACATATTAATATGTAGTTAAATCTACTGATGCATTTTATTTTAAAGCAATTATTTTTTGTATAATATACATTATTTACAAAATATAGTTAATTAAAAAAATTTTTAATTCAAATTTTTCGGACTATAAGGTGAATTATTGAACTGGTCAGGAATATATAAGTACATATAAGCAATGGGTAGTCATCGTGTTAATTATATTTCGTGAAAAATAATATTATTTTATTTAATGCATTTCTCGTTGTTAGTCACCATAATGTTTACTTTCTCATATACATATATTATTCAGAAAAGAACGCTTCGGATATTTTTAGTCGATTATACATATTTATTTTGTCATGCAGAATATTATAAAAAATAATTTTCTTTCCATTAAGATCATTTTGTTGTAAAGTACAAGAAAGATATCGGATGAGAATATTTCTTTTAAATACTACAGAAAAAGATGTATTAAACGCGGTGGCAGTGCTAACAAAGAACATTATTTAATTTCTCGAAATATTACTGTTTCTCATGTTACACCGTCAAATTACTTAAATATGATCTATTAAAAAATTTATTTAAATACTTTCTCCTTTTAAAAATATAATATACTTATATTATTGTTCGATTGCACATAATGATATTACATTTATATTAAAATCTGTAATTTTTACCGAAAGCACATATTGCACAAGTGAAGAATAAGTGAAACGTCGAAACGTGTATAAAATGATTCAATATTATACATTTTTCTAAGTATATATGTTTCATTGTTACATATCTCACGCTTCCTTTTCATGGAACTTTGTGTTTATACTATAGAATAGTACTCGAGTTTGTGTTTGATTACAGATTAACATGTTTGTTAAATAAATATTGCATTTGCTTTATCGCGTACTTTTTTTACGCGTAGCTATATGATTAGGAAATACATAATCTGTATTCTTATACATTTTTCCTGTTCTATATATATTTAGAAAATTAAAGTTGATTATTTATATATTATATATAATATATGTTATTATATGTAATATATATATATGTATATATATATATATATATATATATATATATATATATAGAGCGGCAATGAACTTAAGCACATTTTCTTTAAAGATAATGATAATAACAATAGTAATAATAACAATAACAATAATATTGTTATCAACAACTGTATTCGAACAGGAGACAAATATATTACACACGCGTGTACAAATACACATTCATTCATTCATTCATTCGTTCGTTCGTTCGTTCACTCGTTGAGTGTTTATACGTAGTTTGTTGAATATATCCAAATTATTGTAACGTTTTATTGCATAGTAACCTAACGTTAATTTTTGACGTGACATTAAAAGAAGTAAAAGAAAAATATAAATATAATTTAGATTTGAAAGATTATTAAAAATCCAAATGTTTTAAACATAGAAAGCTTAGCTCGAAAGGGTACGTAGTATACTTTGAGAATACCGAATAGGCAATTTGTGAAAGATAACTTGTATTATAAATTAAAGAAAACTGATTTGTTATGTTGCTTTTTCCTTTTTATAATAAAAATTGTCAGTATTTTTTTATTTTGTCTCTGACATTTTCACATTTTAATTAGACAAAAATCATGCATACCCGAATGTGATATAAAGATATTTATTGAAATAAAATACGTGAATATTGCGTACTCTTTCGAATATTTAAGAAATATATTATAGCAACATTGATTGATGTGTTTGGCGATGCTGTGTTAGCGAATTAATAAATATAGTCGTATAATGTGCGCATCAGATATGTACCAAACATATGTACATCAAACATATTAGTGAACTGACACAAAAGATGAATACAATACTGAAGCTAAATTATGTATCTCGCTTCGATGGTGGTACCAAATGATCTGGTAATTCTGCAGGTAGGTCGTAACCTTCGAGTTTTACATGAATCAAATGCATTGCTAAAGCAAATTCTTCGGAGTCCAAAAATCCATCTTTGTCGATATCAGATAACTTCCAAATTCTGCCAAGTACATTGTTTGGTAATTTTGATTTTACCATCTCCGATTTTGCCGCTGAAAATGTGATTCCAAATGGATATTATTAATAATAGAAAATAAGAAAAAGGTAAGAATATCATATAATACGAAAATAATTTATATTGCTTCAAGCTTCAACTATTTTGCTTAAAACAAAAGCGTCATATAATCGGAAGGAAGTCTAGTTGAGTTTAAGCATAAGAGTTAATACATTACATATAATAAGAATTTACCTGCTCCTGTGATTTTTCCATCACATGGACCGAGTTTTTCAAACATTAAATTGTATTTATATCTTTCCTTGTTGACAATCCATTCTGGTTCACCTGCGCCAGCATCGATACCCTCACCTCGTTTATATCCGAATGGACTCACTTGATCTTCCACGCCTTCGAATGCACCGCCTATCATACAAAATATCATGCAACTTCGTAAAATTTGATTTTCATAGAATCTTATTTTCTTCTAAAATAGTATGTGGAAAATGAAAAAATATGATGAATAAATATAAAAAGTCAACGTTAACGTTTAGTCATACTGAATGGAATGGTTTCAGAAAACCGTTCATTTACTGAAAAATAATTAGATCATACGAACTTAAAAAATTAATAAATAGATTATAAACGTTTATGTATTTGTCTTCTAGTCCAGTATATATTTTTGTGAGTCATATATCTGTAACAAAGACAAAGTACATAAATATGGAAAGATACCTTTAACAAGTGAATCTGATGTTGTACCAATTTCTTCATGAGGGATCATACTCATGAGTTGGGCAATATCTTTAACCAGCATATTATCAACCACTTCTAAGAGTTTAGGCTTCAAAGTGTTAAATTTACTAAAATCATGGTGAGCTAAGGACTCTTGCATCTTTTTCAAATCTGGAAAGTCACCAGGTGAAATTTGTTGTTCCCTTTGTATTTGATCATAAATTTGGCCCAAATTTTTGATAAGTTCTTTCTTTTTGGTATCTTTACCGAACACGCTAGGCATATCTTTTCTTAAAGCACTGATTATATAAGCATGCACCTATAAGTCAACATATCGTTAGATTTTATCGTTCGTCGAAACACTACAGCCGATATCGATCGATTAGTAATAGGGTGCGGTAATCAATAGGCTGTAATTTTTGTTTCTTTACCTTTGCTAACCGTGCACGTTTAATCAAGTCGTTGAGCTTTCTAAGTGCCGCGTTTCTAGGTAACGATTGCATATCTTTGAATAAATCTTGTTCCTCATCTTCAAATAGCCTAAAAAGAAAGGAAAGAAAAAAATGTGAAATGATAAAAGATACAGAGCTATACAAGTTTTTATAACACAAAGTGTAAACCATATAATGGCTTTGTATAATAAGTAAAAAATGCTTATGTTGCAATAACATAGCAGATAATGTAGTATTCGTATAAAGTAAAAACATGGGAAAATAAAGATAACTCACCGTTTATTTACATCATATCTTAAAGGCTGATCCCAAAATGAACCAATATATACCCTAGCTACTTCAGGAGTTTGTAAAACTTTTCCCAAGGACCACATCAATGCTCCGTATACTCTCATGAGTTGTTGATGATCGATCATATCAGCTTTATTCAGTACAATTCTAATTTTATCATCATGACCGCGTAATGCTTCGATTAATCTTCTGAATTCATCAGAGATGTCAAGCTTATGTGCGTCAAACAGTAGAATGATCCTGTCTACTCGTTCAGCAAACCATTCCATAACACCAGTAAAATCATAACCTCTGTCAACCTAACATGAGAAAAACTGGTTTTTTAATTAAATATACAAGCTTGATTTGCAAATAGAAGTTTGCAGAAATCCATACCCTTTGTTTCTCGCCTGATAGGATACCAGGTGTATCGACTATAGATATGCCTTTCAGAACAGGAGACGCAACAGTAGAACATTGAAATCTATTAAGAAAAGCATTCCCAAATTTGGAAAGAGGACGAAACTGCTTGTTTGGATCAACAACTAAAGCATTTCCAGGGATCACACGCTCATTCTCATTGTACATAACTGCAATGAAGCGATCTGTTGTTGGTTCAGGTCCGATTCTTATTCCAGGAAAGTCTCGTTCTAGCAAATACTTGATGAAAGTAGTTTTTCCAGTAGAGTATTGACCCACCAAAAGGATCATGGGTTTTGCATCAAAATCCGGATCATCAAGTTGAGGCGAATGAAAATCTTGAAATTGGTAATGCTGCTCAAGTGGCAATAATTTAGACTTGTATATTTTTTTAAGGCCATCAGCAACATTTTCAAAGAGATCCTGTTTTCCGCTTTCTACTCGGCTTAACCAGCTAAACATTTCGTATATTAGTCAAAAGATGGTTCTGCAAATATAACAATATATTATAATCATTATTGTAAAAAGTCACGTATGACTAAAGAATGTATTGTTCATATGACTTCGATCGTTTTTTCTTTGCCAAACAAAATCATAATCTAAATACAGATTTGATGTTGATTCACAACTTTAACACAACAATTACGAATATCCTTCTTCTTCTCTCCTATTTATATTATATGTATCGTATATATACTTATAGTGAAAATAAGTAAGGAAAGGTGAAAGAATGATGAAAATTTGAGAAAATAACATGAAATAAATCTAACCTCCTGTTTTGATTTCAATAAAACACACAAGTAATGACAGGCGTGCTCAACACTGACACTATCATACGGCACGACAGCACGACGTTTACCAGCCCATATGTAATTTATACGTATGTGTTGGAAATAACTAGAATACTGCTTGTCAACGTATTAAGTGTTCTACAAAAAATTTAATCTCGAAAATCTTAACAATTTAATTCTATTTCTGAAGCACGAAATGATCGATCGAAACAGGAAATGTGTATCGCTCGAACACGTTAATTGTAAGAAAACAACCGGCGATTACGCGCGACTACTCAACAGACCACGTCGCGAACAATTCTATATCGATACCGCGACTGCGCATCTCACAATCACTATATACCTCCTTCCATTCTCTAGTACTCTAGTTTATTATCCCTCTCTTTTCTCTGCGTTCCTTTCTATTCTTTCATCCTTTTTTCTTTCTTACATATTTCTATCTTTCCCTCTTTCTACTTTTTCTATTTCTTATATGTGGCACCTTTGTTCTTTTCTTTTGGTAAATGTTTCTTTTTCGACAGAGTTATTGTCAATAAATACATAGATTTGATAAATGGGGAAAAGGTTATACAAATATTTACAATGATTATTGTATATAATTAAATTTACTGAATATATATATATGTATATATATATGTATATAGTTGAGAGTAGTCAATTTCAACAGATCAAATTATCCTGAATCGTTCGAAATTAATTAAATTGAGAATATATTATATAAATGAAGATGAGCAAATAATATGGAGACTATCAATCGAAAATTTCAAGTATAATTGAAAGAATAATTTATATTTAAAATAGGTATTTATTAAAATATAGGTATAAATATATATAGGCATTTATTAAAATACTTCAAGTAGGTATCAATCAATGAATTTAAAAGTGTATGATATTTGGAGTCTTTCTCTTTTATAGAAGTAAGGAATCCTTTTCTTGGCAATGAGTGATTTACGTATGTATTTCTGTAAAGTTGCGTACTAAGTAAAAGATACGCTCTGTCTACATTAAGAGTCACGCATGTGTTTAGCTTTATCTCGAAATGAGCGCACTGTTACGCGTCACTGTTAGTCGAGGTCGGTCATATTCCATCTATGATACATTGCATACATACAGGCATACATACATACATACATGCATGCATACATACATACACACACGCGCGCGCGCGTTTATATCTATTCGATTCTTATCCACTTATTTATCTGTCCATAAAAAAAGAAAACAATTGTAGATAAAAAAGAAAAAAGCTAATGTAAAATAATGTAATTTCATTGCTAGTCAAATAATTAATAATTTATTTTCCGAACCACTTTGTTCAAATAATTGTTAACATTTCATTGTTGTGAATTATTTTTCGATTTAATATAATACCAACAGCGATATTTGATAAAAAATAATATCGTGTCACATACATATATATAAATAGAACAATGGGATTATATGTACATATTTACAAATTGAATATTAATATAAAAATATTGCGTGTCCATTTATTTATTTGTAAAATATCATGTAGACGTACATATGCAAAGTAACTGTGATTAGTGACCAGTAGATGGGGAAAATTCGACTGTTCAATGATACATATGCATATGTGCATGAAATAAAAAAGTAATTACTTACATACTAAGATTACTAGGTATATCGGTCGATACGGTACGATCTCGATGCCATTTAATTGATGCATTCACGCATATCTTCCATTTGAGTATTTGAATTCAACGGAAAGAGTGCTTGAAATAATCGTTCTCGTATTGCGTAACGAGACATGCAAAACATTCAGTGTCACTCGTTGCATAAGCAACGCGGACACATCCTGGTTAAACGATTTTATGCCAATTTAGTAATCTTAACCAGCTTCGCTCGAATTAGAATTGATTCGCATGATACAGTATACTTTGTTTTACGGCTATATGCGTTATCACTATCACGGACGTATATGAGAAGCGAGAATTTTGGTTTCCTTCTTGTAAGATAAATTATCGAGTATAATCAATTGTAGAGAGATAGATATATATTTTGTGTATTAATGGGGGAGACTCATAAGAGTAGACATTCATCGTCCCAGTTCTCAGGAAGCACGTCCTTCCATAATCTAGTTAAGGTTTTTAGTCGACAAGGGGTGCCACACTTTGGTATATTCATATGATACAATGTCATTTTTTCTGTATCATTTAGATACATTAACTATAAAAGAATAAAAAGAAAATATAAAAAAGAGGAAGGAAGAAAATATGAAAATAGATTAGACGAAACAAATATTAACTGGATTAGAAATGATTCTTTTCAGTAGGAAATATATAATACCTTCAGTTCTGTGTCCGCAGAATTGGATGCAACGTGCAGTTCGAAAATAAGCGTCGAGCCGTAATCAGGTTTAAAGTATTCATTCGTGAATCCCATGGTTCTTAATAAATTAACGAGAGTTATGTCATGAGCAGAATAAAGATACGTTCGTCTTGTATCTTGACCATCATTAAAAGCGTGTAAACGCTTCAAAATTTCTTGCAGTAAGGGGCCTAAAAAATATTGTTTATATAGACGAATAACTACAATAAGATAAGAATGGTTTCTTGATCATAATTGTTCTAAGATATAGATATTCATATATGTGTACCTCCTCGAAGTCGTTGTTGTAATGTATTGCTTGTAAATATGGCTAAGCTACGGGCTGCAATTTCACGCATATGCTGATTGTAGTATTTGTTTGTCCATTCGGGTAATTTTAAGCCATTACGTTCCTCGATTTCCAAAATATTGTACAAAAATTCGACATCGGTGATTGTTGAGATATTTTTTGCGGTATAATTGGAAAGTTCTTGAAAATATTCGGCTGATGGAGATTCTGGATGTTTAGATTCATTTGCGTACGCTTCTTTCAAAGCTTTCTCTAATCGTGGACAGGGAGCCTTAACTACAATCGTCTGAAAATTGTAATTGTTGTTTATCTTTCTTCCTCTATCTGTTTTAATATCGAAAGTATTTTGCTGGCGTACAATACGTATACCTTATCCAAATGTCTAGGAGTGGAATGAACAGGAACAGGATGCCACATTAATCCTGGCACAAATATTTCCTCTGTGTTTGGTGGATATAAAGCAGCTAGTAAAACTTGAGCAGACATTATGCACCGATCCGCGTAAGTACTTTGCGTCAAAGACAAATCACTCTCATACTTGTTGCCAATTATTGAGCCGTATTCATTACGAATCCACTGACCAATATTGTACATTCGTACCATACCTTCCTGTGCATGAGATCGAATAATTGTATGATTATGTATAATGTTTGTATACATTGAAAACTTATTTATGTGATATCAACGCATTGGATAGCATGCATTTTCAATAACATTCTACTTATGATAATAAATAATAATAAACGGTCATCGATTTATAAAAAACAGATTTGGAATTTGTTAAACCTTGGTTAATGCTCCCCAGCCCCCTTGCCATTTATAATCCCGATACGGATCGTTTGGGTAACTTTCGGTAGGAGTACGATCTCCATGTCGAAAAACCTGTCAAGTTATTAACAGATTAATAATCATAAGAGGAAGGTATGTCGGTTACTGTATTATAAAGAGTGTGTATTAGAAAACAATACATATACTTACAAATATCACCTGTCGTACGGAATTTTGTGGAGCTAACAGTATAAAACTGATAGTGAGAGTGAGTATCAAAATAAAAATCGATACGCGAACACTCATCTTATTTCGTTGACATTTGTCCTGTTTGTTGTTATCATTAGCTCTGTATATATCTATGATATGTAAGAAAAAATGATACGTATATCGTATGATACGTAAAAGATACGTGTGCGTGCACTGCGCACGTATAGAAGAACGAAGAAAGGAAAACAACGTTATTGAAAGACATGAGTGATATACAAAGATGAAATATAGGAATCAATTGCTCGGCGGAAACGCACGCGATGTCTTCCAATTAGTAAATACATAATTACGTACATAAGTAGAGAATTTCTTGTAACAACGTACAGTTTCCTTAAATGCGCGTAGGGATACAAGTAAAAATATCAGCAGTATCAGTACTTCGTTCTGATTTCTATGTATTCCATCATAAAGATCGCATGACATATAAACACTAGAGCGCGCTCGTATCGTTGGTACATCATATGAGTCGTTTTTCGACATTTTAGACCATGATTATATAATCCGGTATCGTGATTTATTGTAAAGTCCCTGAAGCCTTGTCTTTCTTTATTTCTTTTTAGAAATAAAGAGAAATTTTCTAGTTACTACAGCTTGTTTTTTGTAGTTGATCCAATTTATTACGAAGAGTGTGTGTCTATTTTTTAAAGGATGCTTTTCTCTTCCTGACCTCTCTGCTGCAATTAGAGTCCCACTATTTGATAGAATTCCTGGTCTTTGTGGAATTTTTTTCTGGAGTTATTTCCTGCAATAGTTGTAGTCATGAGATAATGGTAGTCATAAGATATTCATATTTATCTATAAGTGACAACTCATCATATTCTTTGCCCATTAATAGGTGATAGTGTGACTCCATTTCTAATCTATATTTTGTTCAGTCGGTACTGATGGAGGAAATTCTGTGTGATTTTATGATATGTACATGTTTTTGCATATTTGCAAGACATGCTCTGGAGGAATGATTTGAGCCCATACTGTCATCTAATTGGTACGTTGATAAAATTACATTCCGCAACAACTATATCAAAACGTCAACCTACAAATCAAAACGCACAGGTTAGGGTAAATAGAAAATACTGGCTTGGGTAAATAGAGCTAGAGTGTATCACTACAATCTGGCAGCCTCCTTGACAAAGATTAGCATATTACAAGACCCAACATGTGACTATAGCACTCACATCGAAGAAATAATTTGTATCTTGTGGGCCTGCTTCTTACACAGGTATGAAAGATAAAAATTTATACAAAATCACAGAAAGAACGGATGGACTCTGCTCTACAGAATCCACATATTTCTTAAAGAACCCAAGATACAGAGCATCAAAGATATAGATAAATTTGTAGAAGCTTCATATATCACCATGTAACGAGAATAATTATGTTAAAATTCAGAGACAACAAAGAGTACTAAGCTTTAAACTGAAACCTTACCATTGTACAGATATTTTCTAATACATAAGTCTGAAACTAGATGTACATTAAAAAGACTAAAAAGAGAATGCTAGATTAAAGATTAGGATTAAGTACTAGATTAAGATTAAATATTACAGATTGTGCAATTATTCGAATCTTTAGTTCTAAGTTAACTATTTTTATACCTTGATATTGCTGTTATATTGTTAATATTCAACACTCTTGATGTAACATGAAGCTAGATTTAAAACTAAGACTGAGCACTAGGTTAAGGTCTAGTATTACAAATTGTGCAATCACTCGGATTTTTAGTTCTAAGCTCACTATTTTTACTTGATATTGTTGTTATATTATTGATATAGTGTTAATGTGGTTTATAGACCCATAAAAGTCTAAAGCTTGTATTCATTAAAAAAGATATTTTGATATTCTCAGTCATGGTGTAATATACTTATGTTCTCGATACGTGTACCGAAATAGTGGGAAATGCGCTATCAGGGAGGGGTTATTTTGAATAAAATGGATGAAAGGTAACTACTATGGCAATGTTTCAAGATCCTAGTAAATACTTTATTTGTCTACATTCTGCACTAGTTTTTCCGGTTGATTTAACGGAATCCTTGCATTCTTTTGTTTATGATAAAAGAAAGAAGGGAGAAGAGAGAAGTGGAAGGATAAGGAAAAGATAATAGCCAAGGTAATGTAGAAACGAAAGGTATATGTATTGGATTTATTTTCGTTAATTTTACATAAAACAGCGTATTGATACGCTAATAGTCGAATAGCATTCGTTCGAAAATACAATATGATGTATGTAATTAGTTGGAAACGAAATAGACATAATGTACAAGTATTTAAGCTGCATGTACGACAGGTATCGATATCAGTTTATGAATGCAAAATAGATGCACGATCGGCTACAATTTAACGCATGAGACTGAAAGATAAATTACAGAATTCATAGTTGACCATTTAAACTTGTGCGTTTCCAATAATTATTAATGGTTTCTATTTTAACGCTTGATTGTGTTATATATATCGTATCGCCGATGGGTAGGTTTGTCGTATTATTTTACTATTCTTTCCACATGTTAGTATATATGCTTGTAAACGCAGGAATACGCACTCTGGTACGTAAATATGAATGGAATAACTTTATGACTAGAACAATGACTAGAATGTAACTGACATTTAACTGTCTCGATGTTCTAAATTTTAAAGAAGAAAGAAACCGAGGAAAAAGAAGGAACAATATGTTTCATGAACAAAAATGTTCAGTATACCGCGTATATGCGAGAGATCTGAGATAGAAATGATTGATTGCACGCACGAACGATAATTTAAAAGAGAAATCGATTTGACTTAAGATTGATTTACTAATTGATAAGGGCTGAAGCAGCCAAAATTTGTCGGGTTGCAGAATCACCTTACAACAGGGGCAAAGGCAAGAAAAGGAACGAAAGAACGAACGAACGAACGAGCCCGTGCAAGTAAACATTTATGACGTTAGAGCTTAAAGTCGAAATGAGATTGATCAAGCGAACCAGTACGTTTTTGAATCTAGGGTTGTTCGGAACGACGTCGTCGGCCAGGTCCTCCGGCGTAATTCGCCGCTGCTAATCCCATCAAATGTTTTGCAGCTTGAGACCCGCTGAATCCGCGACTCAAACCTAAGTCCAGTCCCCGTTTGTTACTGTAAAAAGAAGCCACGGATGGTGATTAGAGTGCGAAACTTTGACAATGAATGCCAAATATGTATGTATTGCACTGGTATTAACTTTGTAAAGATGGTTACTTTTCACTCACTTTTCAAGCTCTGGATTACGTATCATGGTGTGACCAAGCCGACTAATTATTTCCATTAGAGCTTCCGGATCTTCCTCCCAGTAACCTTGTTGTCTATAATGTAAAAGTGTCAATGTCTTTTAACAAAAGCATTTGCGCCTAGTTGTGAAACATTGAGAGCTTTACTTTGCATAATGCTAACAATGATTTTCATTGAGTACACGGCCAATCTTTTTTCCCTGAAATTGTTCGCGGCATTCTCATTTCATTTAACGACGTTTAACTATCGAATTTATAACTTTTCCATTCTGGGTTATACACGCATACGCGATACTCTGTAACAGTGGAACAAAAAGACGTAACAATGGCAGTCTCTTTACTTTTAGATAGACGGAAGAACCGTTTCCTCTCATTAAACGACACCTCGTCAAATGAAACTGGGTTAAACTTTCTGACACTGCCAGATGCGTCTTTCGTTCACCTTGTATATGCGTATCTCTTTTTCTCTGTTTCTTAGACACATAATACGACTGTGCTTATTCATGTTTCTATCTATATTGTCCTGCTATGAATCGCGCATTTTGCTGTATCTCTTGTTTCATCTCGTCTCGTCTTGTCTAGCGTAGTTCCGTGCCGTATCATACGTCCGTTTTCGTCTCAATATATTTCGACTAGCGATACTACGAAAGATCGATCGACCAAGCAAATTTGTAGGAAAAAGTGAATAAATTGATCGCCAGAGATGAGAGACTTACGGCGCGGCATTCGTCGAGAGGTTCGAAGATACGAAAAGAACCGCAACCACCAACAGTATGTAGAACGATACCATCCTTTGATGCATCCTCGAAATTTTTTCAAATCTGAAAGTGAAGTGGTTTCATTGTAATATTAATCGATTCATTCAACGCACCGTTGCATACATGTGCATGTTAAGAAACGATCAGGATGAAATTGATCAAAATATACGTTTCCCGAGTTGGAACTCCAGTTAGAGCTCCAGTTGGAACGTCTATACGTGCCGGTGAATATAAACTAAAGGAGAAATAAGGAAAAGAAAGAAGAAAGAAGAAAGAGAAAGAGAAGAGAAATCAAAGTCCTTAGTCTTTACTATTTTTCTTTTTTCAAACTACCGGAGACAGAAAGGTAGGCGCACTCCGCGACTATAGCGACTAACAAACTATTCAAGCCACAATCTAAGAAGAAATTCTAGGAAGGAAAGAGCGATCGTGGCAAACTTTTCGAGCAGGTCTCTGCATCGTATTCTTACGATTCTCAACAGACAGTTCCATACAGCAGCATATTATCGTAACAGTAAAAAGGTTCATTTGCGAAACGTTACATACACATATATGCACATACATGTACACATATGCGTGTCTTTTGTCCTTAAAATGTTTTTGTAAGCAGTGATTGGGATTATTCGAAGCTCGTAAGGTCCAAGGAAATTATGTTTTCATTGAAACGAATACCCGAAAGTTTATGGCACGCTTCAGATTACAGCGACGCTTTCCAATTTCTCTTAGTATCGATGTTCGTTCAATTAGTATTTTATTGGAAGGCAATCACGAGTTGCTTTCAGCGTGCCGAATGGCCGTAACACAGGATAATTGGATTCAGCGCTTCCGATAATTGATGTTGACGATACGTTTTCACGCGTGTACTTACATTCGTTAAGAACAACTCGATACTCGAATACACAAACATTTTCAAATGTTTAAATATCACAATTCTCTGTGGGATTCTAAAAGAACTATTCCATCCACCGTATTGGAACTTGTTTAAACCGGGAAGAATCGAAAGAAAATATTGGATTTCGAAAAAAATGAAAATCAAAAAAGAAGTGAGATAATGGGGTGTGCAGATAACGAGAAATTAAAAGAATCGTAGCAATTACTTTCGTCTCTTTCGTTTTTTCTATTTTTTGCCACCTTTCACGCCCCGTATTTCGCAATTCCGTCTGTTATACCCCGTATTCCGATTTCCGCTTTTCATTTTCCGCTTTCCGCTTTCCCCTTTCTGTTTTCCGTTCTCCGACGACTAAGCAGCGCGGTACACTCGCAACAGGGTGAATCGCGTTCGATCAGCCATGAAAATTCAACCACGAAGAACAGCTGCGCGTATCGTCTTCCTTATCCAATTAAGATTCGAGAAGTGGAAATATCGTATAGATTGCTATTTGAAAATAAATGACAAATCGAACAGCTGTGAATTGGAGAAAATATCGCGATACCCGTATTTGCCATAAACTCGATTGTTTTTTTTTTCAGTCTGTTAATTTCTTTATGAAGAAGGAGAGACGTTTATCGCGAATGCAATGGCTCGATGTCACGAAAAGAATGCAGCAACAAGTCAAATTACCTGTCGGCGTACCGTTTAATTTTTGCATCGTGAAACGAATAGATCGGACGTGTCGCGAATTACTTTCATTCGAACATTGAAAGAATTTATTATCTGAAATTGAATATTTCTCCGTGAGTTTATTTCGATAATCATTGCAACGTGGAGGTTTCGTCTTAGCGAATTCGCTCACGTACTTATTCTAATTTCGAGTTCGGTTCGAAGCGTGCATAAAAATCGAACGGTAGGAAAACCCGAGAAATGTCAGAGAAGAAGAGAAACAGTGGTTGGATAGTGGTCGGAGACAGTGGAGATACAAGAAGGAAAATAGGTGAAACAGAAAAAGGAGAGTAGGAATTATAAATACGAAAGATTTGTTAAAAGCAGGAAACCGTATTCTATTTAAACGCAACGGAGTTGGCAGTTTCTTCGGTATAGAAACGCGTCGTTTCTACAATGAAATGATTACAAGATTTACATGGATAGAAAATATTCATAGAGTGAATGATCATCAGAACTGTGGTTCCTGTTAAAATTCGTTATTCGTACGTTTATTTTCTCTCGTAACTCGGACACTCGTTCGTTCTTCTCTTTCGTTGAAAACTTTAAAAATTTCCGTATACTTTGAGGTTCGTTTACGCCGCGTACAAGTGTAAGAAAGGCCAAAGGGAAGTATGCAGAGTCAGTTGACAAAACGGACACGCGTATTTAATCTCGTGTTAACGAAAACGAACAATCGAAGAAAAAAGGGAAGAAAAGAAGGAACAAAGGAAGAAGCTAATGTTGCACTAGGTAGTTGCACTTACCTTATCGGGATACGATAAACGAACGAACACCGGTAGAGTTGTTCTTAGATGGATTGTTTAGCTAGATTGTTTCTTCGACGACGGAGAATCCCGCTCTGCGAATACGACTCCGCTCTTCACGGTTTATATAAGTCCGCGGCTTTACGGCGCTTGTTTCATCCCCCATTTCCATCCCCATCCCCACCCCATGGTACCCCTAAAGACTTTCCTCGACCAATCAAACGGATCCGTGTACTACCCCGTCCGAGCTTCCTACCCTCGATTCTCGTATATCGTTCCGGTAACCACCAACGAGCGTAACGCGAACTCAACCGCGCGCACTACTATCGCCGAATCAACCATTCTTCTTCGTTCTCTTTCTTTCCTCCTGTTTCATCTTTTTCCCTTCTTTCCTTTGGTTTTTTTTTCTCCCCCTTGTTTTCAGAGCAAGCAGAACAAGCAAAAGTCGCAAGTTGAATCGCCTCGTGTACCAAACTCGCAAGAGTTTCATAGCCTTCGGAGAATATTGCGATAAGCGTTTTGTACATGTAACCGTGTTATGCTATATAAAACGTTAAATAAATGTAAAAGGTTCGATGAATCGATTAGAGTGTTTTTGAAAGAAAACAGGAAAATCAGGGAAGAAAATACCATCTGGTTGGTCGTTAGTCACGTTTGATTCATCGATAACAACTCCTTGGACGTAGAGGAATACACAACTGGAGCGAGTTTCGTCCATTAAGCTTACCATTTTATTGCCACTACTGTTTACTACCCTATGAAAGTCTCGCTATGATAACAATCGTTCGGATCGGTTCTTGGTTTCAAGTCGCGTGCGTACGAAGATATTAATTATCCGATTCTGTAATTAGTCTTTCGTGGAAAAGAAGAAATCTGAATGTGAAGCAGTAGCGACAGTTGCTAAATCGGTGCCGATTTATCGAAAAATATGCTTACCGAGAATCTCATTCGTACAGTCATATTCGCAATCTATGGTAAACGCGCTCCTTTTTCCTTCTGCGCTTGATCGATTCGATTAATCTTAAGATTAAGTTTGAAATGACAGTCGAAAGAGGAGGAAAGGAACAAGTATCAAAGCGCAACTATTATTCTCTGATCGTTTTTCTCGACTAGATCAACCTACGAGAGCCTTTCCCTTTTGATCGCGGTAATATATGTCCATAAATATACCGTTACTTACACTTATCCTTTTTGTCCATCCTTTGAAACGGAATAACTTTTTCAAAATTGGACCGAATGACGAGTTTTTTCGAGAAACTAAACTATTACTTTACTGGGCGAAGAAACATTTGGAGATAATTGCAATTGGGATGGCGGGCAAAATAATAAATGTCGATTTTTACAGCTTTCTTGTCCGAGCCTGTCATGAATATTTAAGAAATATGTTTCGCAGATTTATATAACTATATCAGTTATCTGTATACATAATGAAAATCTTATCGAAATCATTGCGAAACATCGATGATACAGTAAAAAGCGACAAGCCGAAGTTCGTGAGAAACTGACCATTTTTACCATTTTTAACAGTTTGCAACTCATAGCAACGTCGATCGATTTCGACGAAATTTTCAGCAGATATACAGTATACATATACGGTATATTTAACGTGTATAGGTAACTCAGATAAATCTACAAAACGTATTTTGTAAATTTTTATTACTGGCTCGAATAATCAGTTTTTTACGCATATCTGATAAACTGATGCAAATCGTTTGGTCCAATCTAAAAAAAAAAAGTTATTCTGCTTTAAAGGATAGACAAATATGAGTAAACTGTATATATCGTCACATGTTAGACTGCATTTCGAAAGCGAAATCTTTGTGAAAGAAAGAACGACCGCGCGATTCGACCCTCGAATCTCCAAACGGATGAAGCGGCTACTGCGATTCGCTCTGTTTTGATCAATTCCTTTCGCATCGCGAGCATCCAAAGATAAAAAACGGAAATGCTTTCGTATCGATTCGTCTTTTCGCGTTTGTTTCTCGTTCCTTTTTCTTTCTTTTTCCCTCCTTCACTTTTTCCATCTAACATACATATTTACAGGAATTCAAGAATCACCTTATTACCGTTTATTGCGGCGTCTATACATAATTCGTCCCTTTCGTAGGGCGCCGTCTACCATTGTCGGTCGGCATGCAAATCACCCAATATGTAGTCCATTTTAGTAATATCTCTGAAATGGTGGTGCTTACTTTAAATAAATGATCGTTACGAACCTCGTGCGTTATAAAAGAGCGAATAAATTAACTACATGTATATCGTCAATTGCGTGTACGGTTTGCATTCCTATAAAGAATATGTCCGACAGTTACTTATAATCGAGCGTGAGGTGATTCCTTGTCAAAAAATAGGAAGAAAGTGTAGAATATAATTTTGTCATATGACGCTTCGTTTTCTGGAGAAAATCCAATTTGAAAATTTGTCAAAGCGAAGTGTCTATGGAAGAATTGTATTCCATATTTTCTTCGTATCTTTTCATCGGGAATCACCCAGTGCTCCGCTTCTGTATAACGAGAGGACTCACCCTCTACCATAGCGAGGACGCGATGGATCGTCCAGAATATTGCAACATCGAGAATTCTTTATCTTGGCGAAACTGCAAACTAATGAGAGGTAAGAGTAGACGAGCTGTGGAAATAACGGAAATAGAATACACGAGTGAGAAAGAGAAGGAGAGGAAAGGAGAAATCTTATTCATCCGCTAAAGTAACCTTTTAATCATTTCCGATTACGTAAATCAATTTCAGTGGCGCGCGCGACTATGTCTGTTTCCTTTTGGAGATTGATTTATTGGTTATCAATTTGTTAGTTGGAAGCACGACGAGAAGAATTCAGATGAAACGAAAGATCGAGTAATACCAACGGAGGTAAACCAAAGAGAAACAGCAAGTAAACAGAGAGAGAAAGAGAGAGAGAGAGAAGAAAGGAAACAACGAGGAGATAAGAAATTGGAAAATTATCAATCTTTTTCGTTTACTCGTGGCTTTTTCCTATAATTCCAAACACTGTTCTTCCTCCCTCTCTTTTCCTCTCTCTGTCTCATTCTTTTTTTATTGGACGCGTTTGGTTCGAGAATTTGCGCTCCTCGTGCGAATCGAAATATCGTAGGAAACGATATCGTTAGACGTTAAAACGAAATAACCCTCCCGGTTTTATGGAATATTTGTCGAGACATAAACTAGAAATCAATCCGATACGGCCAGTGTGCCCGCTCGATTCATTTGAACGTTCGAGATCGTGCTTTCGGAGAAGTTGAAGTTAAATTGAAATATATCGCAAAAATTATTTCGTTCGAACATGCGATGTAAAAATTTTGTAGGTTAAAATTTCTTTCTCTTCCCCCGCCCTCATCTCTCTCTCTCTCTGTCTCTCTCTCTCTTTGTGAAAAGAAGAGAGATTTCTTCCATGGTTCTCTTCAATTCAGTACGGTTACCTCGATAGAATTGCCTCGGCTGATTGTTTCCCGGTTTGCCCGATGTATCACGTTCTTTATGTGGTTTCGAACGTTTCATCGGGATAGAGACGATTTGGCGCCAGGAGAAGTATACGTGTAAGTATGTACATCTGTTTAGCAAGATGACAGAAAACCTGTAGGCTGTAGCAACTGCAGTAAGAATGGTAGTCGTATTACAGGCGTATCCCATACGTTATTATTCACTCGCGTTTTCACGTTTTCTTTGGGGCAAGCGATTCATGGATTCCTCGATTTCCTGTAAAATCAAGTAGTCGCAAAATCAGGTACTCCACGAAGCAACTTCCCATTCCGAAATGATAACTTCCGTCCCTCAGTCTCTCGCTCTTCGTCATTCTCTCTCTCCCTCTCCCTCTCTCTCTCCAGGGAACGAAGAGTCGATCTAACGATTTTCCAAGGATCAAACCCTATCGAGAGGAAACCAGTCGATGGCGAAGTTAGGAGAGTTACTCACAAGCAAACGGTCGTCGATTAGTTGATCGTACATACTTGGTTCTAAACTTCATCCCCAATCTACGTTATACCTATCGCATATTATAAGTTGGGTTAGCTTCTTTCTCGAGAGACCTGATATTTCTCGCGTGTTCATGCTGGTGTATTCGTGCTGTATTTCTGTCGTACTGCTGTCTCGTTATAATTAAAATTTATTGTTTTTGTACTCGACCAAGCGTACGTGATGGCGCACGCGGTCGAAAAGAAAAGCGGGTAGGGAAGGGAAGGAAAAGAAAAGGGAAGAAGAGAAGCAGAGGTATGAATTGCAGAAACAAACGACAGTGATCAGTAATTACAGGTGACACTGATTGTTCGACTTAAAATACACGGTAAAATAGTTAAATCGTATCGATTCGGGAAGCAAACTAGTCGATCTTAGGGTAAGAGAAAAGGAAGATTCGTATGTATCGTGAACTACGTATTACGTGGTGTTCCACGTGTGCACATGCAACGACGCTCGCACCCAACGACCTGTACAGCTTTTAAAAATTACGATACTCTCGCCTCGAAGAGCGTTAACGTTCTAACAGCATTTCAACTTGGTCTATTCCGCTCCAAAGAAAATCGATTATACGTTATTCGTTATCCGTTATCTGCTCTGAAGAGGAAAATTAATGTTTCGTTAGAGGAAGATTCAGTGAAATTTAAAACAGTTAAAACACCTTCCCCGTTTAATAGAATTTTACGCTTAAGTAGCAAGGAAGTGACTTACTGATATATATATAGTATCTATGCGTACTGATATATATAGTATCTATTCCGTACTATGGTATCGACTGATTCGTAAACGATTTTGGATCAGTCGATTTGCAAATCCGAAGACAATGCACGACGTAAACGAAAAAAGGGTTTGAAAAAAGAGTCGTATGACTTTTACAGCTTCTATTTCTATCGGCCTACTTTCAAATGAGCCGCGCTGGATGAAGGACGCGAAGGAAAGATAACGACGATGTTCTGTTTAGCCGACTGCGACTGTCCCGAAATATTCTACTTTATCGATCGTAGGAAAACGTACGTAATTAAAATCATAGATGTTTCGACTTATCGTTACTAGATACTGCTGGTTAAGAAGGAAATTGGCTCAAAAATCGCGGAGATAGTTTCGGATACGTGTATACTCTCTAAAACGTAATATGTATATACGTATTTTATATATGTACATACCTATGTATAGTTAAAAAAGTATACACGCTTGAGAGAAAGGATATAGGATTTTATTCATCCGGGTACCCGCAGCCACATCCATGGCCACTTCTACAATCGCCGTGAATAAGCGTATCGATATCGTATCGCAACGCATCATCGAAAAGTGCTATCGCACAACCGGTGTTTACGATTTTGTCATAGAAAAACGGTCGCGTGAGACAAAAGAGGTGCGTCACGTATCAAATGCATCGACATGTCGCGGTCGTTGTGGTAGTCGTCGTCCTCGACGACAAACGTGGAGTAAATGTGCAAAGATGCGAACTTTACTATTTCCTCCACTTTTTTTCTCTTCGTCTCGAATTGCATGAATAAATAATGCGTTAGATTAATAAAACATATGTATTTGCGTCGAAAACAGGAGAATCCTCGACACGAGGCATAACAGTAGAACCGATGTACGGTTATTCGCGCAGGTGTAGCATCGTCGTTTCACACCTGTTCTTTCGATCTTTCGAACGAACCGATAACGCAAACTTTCCCATCAGGTAAGGCTCGTATCGCACATTCGTTAGTCGCGGGGAAATTCGTCTCGTTGCTGCGAGTCATCCATGTACTTTTATCCTTTGGCCGATTAGTTTCGAGAAAGGAAAAGGTAAGGACGATAAAGATAAATACCACGCGGTAACGCAAGGCAGGTGCATGGTTCGAGGATCGAGGCGCGACTCTCCACTTCTCTTTAGCTTCGATATCGTTTGTCGTGTCGTGTATCCACAGTAGCGCCTAGTATTCCATCATTTTCTTTCTTTCTGTTTGTGTTTGTTTACCTACATGACAACTTACCTACCTACGAACCTACGTACTTACCTACCTACTTATCTATCTACCTACCTATTTACTTACCTACTCGCTTGCCCGTGTGTCTGTCTATCTAGTCACCGACCGATTCAACGATCCTCTTCTTTGTGTTCGTACTTGCCTATCGAAGTTATTTTGCAACCTTGACGAGAAATGGAAAATACATTGGCAGAGAAAAGGCTGTCGCGTTTCGATTAATGGTACGACCTCGTTCGAATATCCACGGAGAAGTTAAACGAAGCTAGTTGATAGAGAGAGGGAGAGAGAAGGAAAGGAAGAACTCTTCCTTTGAAAATCATTCTGTTTTTAATTTCTTTTTATTTTCTGATATCACTCGATGAATAGAGCCGAAGTATGACGGTTTTGAGTTTAGGAATCCATTTGGGAAACAGCAGTCACGCGTTTTTAATATTTTGCAACTCTTCGTCCACTGTATGACTTACCTTAACGTGATAATATAGACGATATTTAAACGATAAATTTTATTATTTATCTAACACATATCGTGTTCAAAGCAGCTGAATATCTCTTTATTATCAATATATGAATCGATTTGTCAAATAACATTTTCGATAAGGATTACCGGCCGCCCTCCGACTGCCAGAAAAATATTTGTACGTACAACCTAACTAATACCCCTCCTACTTCTCCATTCCCACGAAACAATATCCAGTTATGTTCGTAGTATGAAGAAAAACGGGCGATCTATCTAGCACGCATAAGGCAGGAAGAAGGCCATACGGGATTTTGCAATCTCTTTCGAGTAATAACTTTTCAACAGGAAGATTCCTATATTTAATTAACTTGGTATCGTTGACCTCTGCTCGATAAGTACGTTCGGTAAATATAAGTTTCGACCAAAAAAGATGGATTCCCAGAGGCAAAGTTAGCACGAAGGGTGTATTACGATGGTCGAAACAACCGGAAACGTAACCATGTAAAATCGTTGTCTCTCGACCCGTCTCATGTACCGTGAACCGTGCCTTAAAACGCGTTTCTCCGTGACCGGTGTAATTTGTCTGGAAATCACCTTCCGATGTTCTCTCAACAGCGAGAAGGAGGAAGAAAAGAGAAGTAAAATAGGTTATGTGGAGTACTGGCGTAAGCAACAGCGCCTCTTTCCGTTGATCTCGAAATACGTATCCAGTTAAGGGAAACGCGTAAATTTACAAAGTCGAATCCTCGATAAGTGATTCGAGTTGGACGTGTTAAACTGGTGCACGGCCGAATAGTCCGCAGCACGCACAGTGCACGCGCACGGTTCAGACAGCTACAAACGGGGCAGGTGAAGTGCACAGCTGCTGGACAGCTGGACAGCTGGACCGATATTCGTTTCCAGGTAGAGTCGATTCAGTCGCAAACAGTCCCGAAGCAAAACGATCGGTCGAAGTATTCGCGACCAAAGGGAAAACTCACACCTTTATCGCACGTTTGTCCTATAGGGTATAGAATGTACATAAGCGCAAAAAGGAATAACACGGAACGAAGGAAAACCAGCTGGTTTGGTTGTTTCGTTCGACCGGATCCGCCGTTTCCTCCGAGCAAAGCGTCGTCGAATGTTTAAGACGAGACGCGAAGTGTTGACCTGCGCCTCGATGCACGCGTGTATGCTTACACATCTCGGCGTCTACTCGCCTAACCTTTACCGTGTATTTTGAAACCATTCGGATGCGCGTACGTATATACGCACACATATATACGCTTATGTATATGGGTCATTGGAACCCTTCGAAGACGGATCGTTTTTCCTAAGGTTCTCACGAAAGACGGGTGCGGGCGACGCGACGTATCGGAACGGTCGATAAGGAGAGCAGATTTCCTGCGATCTTGCTATATACATACGTATAGAGATATACGCGTAGAAACGCTGTTTCGCACCCCTACTAGCGATAATTCTCCATCGTCCCAAACAGCACTGCAAGCAGGAGAATTGCGCAACGTGTCGCGCGCTACGCTGACTCAGACGGGTGAAATGCAGAACGCGGGTGTTCCGTACGATAGTCGTACATCGTACAGTTTCGCAAGGCATAACTCGCGGTCGAGTAGGCGGCCGCTACTTTCCTCTTTGAATCCCAGTTCGAAAGCGTCCGGTTGACTCGGCTTGGCTTGGATAGTCGCGTACAAATGGGAGATATCGGTATCGTTTATCGATATCGATACCGGTAATCGATAAGCGGAGAAGAGCGAAGCAGAAAAACGGAAACGAAATAACCGTCGTTGCGATTACGGCCTATGGGTTTCGCCTTGTCCCGTCTATTTGTCTTTTTCTAAATACATACATCGAGAGTACGTACATATATCGAGAAGAAACAATTAGTATTCTCGAGCTGCGACTAGCATCCGGTTAAGTGGCGACAGCCGCTCCCATCGATCGCGTGCGCGCACGACTCCAAGCTTGTTTCTTCGGCTCTCTGGCTCGATTCCATTTTCCGCTTCTCCGTTCTGGTCCTTGACGAGAGAGGATGATGGGTCAACGGTTTCACCGCGACTCGCGATCCTAGCGATCGGACCGATGCGACGCGGCGTGGCGCGACATGGCGGTCGCAGCGATCGCAAATATACGCGCCGTATCTTACTTGAGGTACGCGTCCATTTGAGAGCAAAACTATCGTGAGTTATACCGTCGAGTTACTTTGAGAACGACTACCCAATCTGAAGCGACTCGGATAGTCGCTCTCAAAGTAGCGTCCATTTGCGAGAAATAAAAGTCGAGAACAAGTAGCGATAGTTTTACTCTTAAGTGTGTATGTACTTACCTTTACTTTTGATCCGAGTATTTTTCATCCTACAGAACCCTGCCGTATGTCGTACGTTCGATCGGTTTTATTCCTCCTCAATCAACGTAAACAACGCGTTTCTTCGATAACGAGCGACAAGATCGAAGATGAAAATTAATCGATCGTCGTGCAGACGATCGTAATCGCGATAAGACGCGTCGAAAGTCGGACGGGTCAAAACGATTGAGACGATATCGCGACATTTCGCGATACACGGGATACCGAAGAACGGCAGATAGCGGCGACGGAGACGCGTTTAGAAGAAAATCGAATATCCAGCGATACGATAGCGGTCAACGATCGAGCGCGTATTAAACGATCGCGGATCTTGTATTTTGTACCAAGATTGGGGACTGATAACGCAAGGTATAGAACGGGAAAGACTATTAACAAGAAACAGAAATAACTCTAATACGATCAACCCGATGGATGTTATGACGATCGAAGGAGTCAAAAAATAGTAGGAGGTTAATAAATGGATAAGGAAGAAATAAAGATCTATGTCTGGTGCAGCTACGTCGTACGAGTACGTAAACAAGCGCGCGCGTTACATGTACGTACGTATAAACGCTTAGGAGTGTGTAGTATGGTTAGTGTAGTATATGCTTAAATGGTTGGAGGAGGAAGGATAGAGACGGGAAAGGAAGAAAGAAGAAAGAGAAAAGGGAGCAACGTACAGGGTTTCAGGGTTAAAGAGGGAGAAAAGAGCGGCTGCATCGCGACTGGCTGGAAGTGGAAAGGCAGCGTGTTTACGCGAGTTAGTGGAGGGAGGTGGTACGTCTCAGCTGAGCGTAGTATAGAGGTAGAACGCTGACGCGAGGGCGAGTTAGTTGCGAATGAGCGCTCGTCGGGCGAGCGTCGTTGCGACGTCGGTCGATAATGTCATCTCGTGATCGACGAGCAGCCATCGGATCTTGAGGATCATCGTATATGTGCGCATGAACGTGATCATTCTATGTATACACGGAAAACGCATGATCGAGAGCATACTGCTTGCTACGCGTAGTGTTTTGATACGTGTTTTGTAGAGTGTGCAGTGCGTTGAATAGCAGTACATAACTGTTTTCTTGTTGTTGTCGCGCCGCATCGTGTATCGCGTAGACGCGCATCGCATCGAAATCCTATCGTATTTCTGGAATACGGCCGACGCGCAGACACACGGGCTCCGACGATCAAGAAGAAAGGAAACGCGTGTCCGCGGCCCGTGCGCGCGAATGTTACGGAAAACCGTAACTGCTACGCTTACGTTTGCGATTCTGCCTGAAAGAGTGGTCGCTATCGTGCGTCGCAAATTCGCGGTTTGCCGCTAATCTCGCGCGATCATCCGTCGACTGCCTCTCTCCTAAAATCTAAAACTATCTCTCGCGTATTTACGCCGAAGCAAGCGTAGTGTCGCGCACAGTGCCGTTGCTGCCAGTGATCGCGACAGCGGCAAGAAAAGCACACATACACACGATAGTGGTAAAAGAAAAAGGAGAGGAAAAAGAGGGGAAAAGCCGAAGGAAGAGGAGAGGAGAGGAGAGAAGAAAAGAAAGAGCTGGTCGAACGAGGTACAGAAGAAGGATACAGTCGTAAACACGGGGAAAGATTCAAGGTCGAGGAGACGCGAGACGCAAAATACTCTTGGCGCGGGAGGCTCGATTTTCTACGAATCGATATCGCAATTTTTCCAAGTGTAGTGTATCGTTCTGAGCATCGGAGACCGAAAGTGAAGTGATATACGAAATTTTCTGTAAATCTCGGCACAAAAATGGTGCCGCAACAGCAAGATAGTCCCTCTAGTTCCGGGATTCCTATGTTTGGTTCGTTGCTTGTGGATAAAAATTCAACGACACCGTACTCGGATGCCACACAGGTATGTAATCGTCGTTTTAAACTTCGATATCTCGAAGAACGCGTACGAACACGACGTTTTTATTTGTCTGGTCGTCCCGTACGTCGCGTTAACGTCTTCCATAGATGGATATTATCAATAACAAAACGATAGTCGAAACACTGTTTTCTGGTGATATACCAACGAATATATACATATACGATATAGTATTTGTAATGGCTGATTTTATACCAATAAGCACGGTAGAAACAACGCGTCAGAGTGAGAGAAATGGAAGAAGGAAAAGGAAAAAGTAACGTGTATCTTGTTTCGTTAATTTCCAATTCGTGGAATCGAGATCCGTCGACTTTACATGTTACTACGTGTCGTCGACAGATGGGAGGAAAAACGTTCGTTATAGATTTAAGAAATGAGGAGTAAAAGGTGGATTACAGGTCGCGTCTTCTACAAATTGCAAA